ATATCCGTGTATGTATTTCTCTCGCGTGTGTGCTGTGTGTCAACTTAGAGGGAAAAGCAAGAGACGAGAAGAAAAAGCAATAGCATCGCAACGGGATCCTTTCATTTGCTTAAATAAATATTGCTCGAACAATGTGCCGAAAGACGAGATACGAAAGGTACGAGATATAGAGATGGAATGAGAGTGAAGAACTCCCCACCCCTACACCCATTCCCATTCCTTACTACCATAGAAGCTTTCGGAGCATGGATAAAAGAGAGAAAGCACTCCGCTTGGGCATGTTTAATGCATCGTTCTCAACATTTCCATGTCAAACATCGCTTTGACTCGCGGAATCTAAAATCGTCTTGTAGAAAGAAGTAAGGCCGCGAGTACATACACACATAAGATCTTTCCCTCTTGTTCGTACGTCCACGTTCGGCCAAGTTAGGCCACGTTGATGGGAAAACTACCCATCTTTATTTACTGCCCGACCGTTTCTGACCGATCGCTAAAGTCTCGGATGGTCGATAAGGGTCGAAACTTAAAAGCCATGAGGGTGAAACGAGAGACTCAATGAGATTCCTATTGGCGGTTTTAAACATCGATTTGCCTTAGAAAATATCGTCTAGAAGAAGAGTATTATCTATGTGCATGAGTTTAAAACGCAGTTGAATTTCCCATTAGTAGAATTTAGAATTAATTTGTTCAGAAATGTAACCACGTTTGACTATGGAATGTTCTAACAAGTTTGAAATTTTCTCGGATTACTAATAGATTATATTTATAATACATAATTAATTTACTATATGTTTATATATATATATGTAATGGACACTTTATTATCTTAATATTTTTCACGTTTAAAAATTACTATTATGCAAACGATGTGTTTCAGATTATTATTAGCCAAATAAATCCAATCCTTTAGCATTTAATTGCTAGAATATCAACACATCTTTAATTATGTCCAAATACTTAAAACGGTCCATGATTCCTTTTATGCGATGTATAGGACCGGTTCCATTAATACTCATCGCACCCCAAATAAGGACAGAACCCCTACTATCTTCGACTGTGGATTTTGGTCAAATCTTTTTAAATTCTTCTCACATATGTTTTCCCATCAAAATGAAATCAATTAATTACATTAGATTATTGTTCTGACTTCCAATGAAAATGTTCTCGCTTTAAAGATTACAATTGTTTTATTTTTAATCGAATTGTATTTCTATTTTTAAATATATGACCGGCAGTGTATTTGGTTCGCAAAGTCGATCCCGATCTAGCTGCCAAACGTGTTTATTCGGTATATCAATAAGAACGAAGTGGTCGAAAGCAAGGACCAAGTCCCACGAGAATCTCCTCCTTGCTTGCTCAACAGCGGTAGCTTCTCCTGGACAGCTTGATAACATTATGTTTCTTGTGCCGACACATGCACCAGCAGTTTTTGAAGAAAGAGGGGAAGGGTGGACGCCCCTAAAATATTATCGAATCGTCGACGCTTTTACCGAGACATGTGTTGCGAGATCGGCTCTGTTCTTTCCTTCATTGGATGAAGATTGGATGTCACCGACCCTGGAATGAACCATAATATACCAGACAACGATAAAAAAAAAGGGTTTTTTTTATGTCCTTTTAAATAGTAATCTTGAAAGTTGTTAAACTGTTACACAGTTCGAACGAAGGTAAATTATGCTCGATCCTTTCACGTGTCCTTCGAAGAAGGTACTCTCCCTTGAGACCATTATTCTTTTCTTTTTTTTCATTACCATCTTCTTCTTTAACCCAAGGTATTTAAATGTTGTTATTCAGTTAATAAAAAAACTCACGCGCGATTATTAAAAATTTGAACTGCAATTCGTGAACAAGTTAGAAGAGGATTTTGGTCTTCAAAGTATTATTTATATTTCTATTTTATCGTACGACTGAATTATGGAATATCGTCCGTATGCGAACCAATAACCAAGTCTACGTGTTTGAACTACTACATAGAAGTTTCATATGTCGTTCGAGGGATAGCGAGAAAGGGTGACTTGAAATATTGGCTACATAGATTTCGACCATTATTGCCGTGTGTAAAACATGGCGACATTTGGCGCTAAATCGATCAGGGCGTACTACCTCGTTCGATGTTCGAGATTACTCGCGATATACAGACACAGTTTCGAGTTCACAGAAAAAAAGAAAGAGTATTCCTTAGGTTACATTGCGAATTTAAAAAAAAAATCATTTTTTTTTCACTGCTATATACTATCAAAATGACTGCTTGAAATTCCTTCGTAATAAGAAGTCCGTACATTCTTTACGATTCACGAAATATTCCAAATATAACGAATGAGAAATACACACACACACACACACATCACTTATCTCCGACAAAGATCTCCCGGCCGTCCTTGCAATTGAAATCTGATTTAACTCGACTTTCTTGCTCTCTTGCCAATTCGCTACCTTCTACCTAATTGTTTCAAATCGACCTTTTCAAATCTATGGCTTTTTCCCTTTTTTTAGAAGAATCATTGAATAAATGAAAAGATTCATTCTCGTTATCGTAATTTCAAAATCATTGTAAAATTAATTGAACTTATTGAAGGTGATTAATTATAATTAATTAATTTTAAATACGAAAAAATAAGAAATGATTGATGAGATGCTTCGAACCACGAATGAAAAAAAAATTACTTTGACAATAAACAAATTATTAAATGATCCTAACGTTTATTACCTAACCAGTTTTGGTAATTATAAGCAAAGCTACGTAAATCTTACGCAAATGTAAAGATTGAGAAGATGTATAAAGATATTTACTAATCGAACAGTCGATTAGGCCATATTAAAGTCGCACCTTGGAATATCATTCCTGAATGATGCCGTTAGGATCTTCATTTGTCATCGGGACAGGTGCTGGCGAACTTGGATCCTTCAAATAAATCGCGCCATTTCGAGCAATGAATCACTTAACAAATAAGAGACGACACAGTTTCACGCCTCGGTATAGGACTATTAAATCTTAATGAATTTGACATAATGCTTAATATATGTCCGCATAATCGAGTTAAGTAACACAGAGATGAACATTTTTCTTAATTTTTTTTTTTTTGTTTATTTGAAAGAAGATGGAAGGAATAACGAAATTACCTGAAATTAGTTTACCTACTTGTTGTTACGCGTGAAAAAGCAACGTGTGAAAGTTCGGTTCATCTATTTCTATTTCTCGTTTTTGTTGTTTTGAAAAGTATGAGGCAACGTAAAAATTAGTATGGTTAGATTCATTTTAATGGGATGTTACCAATGAGACAAGTAAGTAATTAGTTAAAACGATCTCTCGACAATAACATAAAAATTATCATAAGAAATAACTCGATAATACTGAAACCGATAACGAACTTGAATTTGATGAATTTGATTAATTTATCTTTCGTAAGATCGTAATTAATTATTCGACTAAATTATCGATCGAGCGTGTACGTGCCTAACGGAAAGAAAAACAAAACGGACAAGACAGAGACGGTAGGGAAGAAAGAGAGAGAGAGAGAGAGAATTCTTTCTTATTCAAGAGATATAAAAGAGAAAGAGAGAGAGAGAGAGAAAGAAAAGAAATGAATAATAAAAAAAAGATACTCGTAGCGACTCACCGCAAAGTGTACCTACCCATTACGTATGAAATTTATAATATCGCGCGATTTTCTATAATTAATGGATTACACCGAGGAGAGCTTGCACACACGCGAGAATGATTTTTGAGATCATAATTTTAGATAGGCCGTACCCCGCTCTCGCTGACGCAAATGGCGGCGTGTAGGCAAATTGAGGTGAGATTGGAGGTCAGGATTCTACCGACCGTTACCGCAGCGTGCGCTGCCCACTCTACTGGTCGTTACAAAACTCACTTGTATCTTCTATAATATATCATCTTTTGATAATAATCCAAAATCAAATCGAATTAATCAATATAATCTTTCTAACGGCATCGATTTATCAATAAAACTTTCTTATTTCAAGAGCCTTATTTTAAATCGAACAAATCTAACTATCTGATTTATTTCTATTCGTGAACACCTATATATGATTACTTTTTTTCTTGTCAATAATGTTTGGAGAAAGGTGTAGAAGAGAGAATACCTAGACGGATCTTGTTCTATCTAAAACATCTCAAGGATCTCTTTGTTTTCTTTCTCTTACAATTTTATTTCAAACGACTAATTGCCCATTAAAAGTAAATGGGAACTACTGATTAAACTTGAGAAATATTCTCTTTATAAGAGTATTGTTTTTTATTTTCTTTTCAAACGAGAAATTTTCTATTAACTTCG